GCATCTAAGAAGACTGGTCCTCCGTTTCTCATGTACTCGCCGCTTACTGAGCGTGAGTATTGCGAGTACCGCCTTACACAGGATTCAGGTTATGGAGGACTATTCCGGCATCGGCTGCGGAAAGCCTTGACTCCACGGCGCGTCCACAGAAAGCAAAGAACCGCTTGCGACATCGCGTGTCTGTGTTCGACGCTTCTATACGCGCCGGCGAGCTAGCGCTACGTTGTATCGATACATATACATCACCTATCGTTGCCTTCGCTGTCCCCTCGTCCGGCTTCGAGTTTTTTGAGCGCGTAACAAGAGCCATCGAAAGTCGTCGCGAGGTACGAATCAACTTTCGCCAACAAATATCCTTGATTGATGTCGTGCTTTCCTTTTAGCGTGGCGACCACCAACGCTTGTCAGCACATCGCGAACCGACGAGCGAGACGACGCATCTTGGCTGTCTCCGTTACTTAGTCAGTGCACAAACCGGAAATCAGGTACTGTGTTATCGCACTATGCTTGCTCTGGCCGCTGTCTGAGACGATGTCATTAGCAACGTGTCTTCATCGTCGTGGATCTGCGTGGCCATCGCACACGTACACGAATTCTTGAGATTTTGATCGGTGTGACTGCGTGGTCACGTCGCTGTAGCGCACCTTCCATCTCAACGGAACGGACAGAGTTTCAGAGTCTCAGAGTCGAGTCGATGTAAGTGTCACTGTCCGAACGCGGGTAACATGATTCACGGACGAAACCTACAGTATAACTGCAATGTCCGAGGGCTCCTCTCAGGGCCCTTCTATCCCGCGGCTTCCTGTGGATGTCTGTCAACGGATTGTCGACCACATAGCTACGAGACGGGATGTCACTTTTCCTGGTGTAAAAGGCGAGCCACATCTGATCGCCCTCACATCCTGCGCACTCGTATGCCGAGATTGGTATCACCTGACGTGGTACCATCTGCGTCAACGCATCTATCTACGAGACCGGAAGGACGTCCTCTCGCTCTCAAAGACACTCCGCGGAAGACCACGCCTCCGTGAGGTCGTTCAACAGGTCGTCATATCGGGTGCGTCTCCCGGGGAACGACAACCCATCAGGCACCTGGGGACGTTGACCGTCATGCTCGCGGGCAAAATTCCTAGATTGTCGAGGATCATCATTGAAGATGCGGAGTGGACCGTTGGCTCGGTCCGAATGGAGGACATCCGCTACCTAGCTGCATTCAGCACAGTTTGGAATCTATGCATTGCTAATGTCACCTTGTCGAGCATTGCTCAGCTGTCCCGCCTCGTTTCAGCTTTACCGGTGCTGATAGCGTTACAATGCATGAACGTCGACTGCTTGCAGAAACAGCAGGTTCTCTCCGTCTCTCTCCCGCTGAACTGTGCCAATATTGTGTGCCTCCGGATGCAATGGGTTGCACCAGCAATCGAAGACCTCCTCATGCAGATCAGCCGGGCTTCTCGAGTGCAGCATCTCGTTCTTGGGGTGATCGGCGATTTAGACTCATCCTCATCAGTCAACAGAAACCCGAGTTTGCTGGATGCGAGTTCCACATCTGCAGAAACGATTGTGCTCCCTTTGAGTCGCAGTTCTCCTATTCGTGATGGTACAATCGATGCCACAGTCGGAAAGTCTTCTCATTTATCTCTCTCGACTCTTAACTGATGATTCCGTGCTGACAGAGCGACACTATAACCTTTCACGCCACGTCCACTTGTGGAGTTTGGAGATCTGGCTGTTCCACCCCTTCGCACCATGGCCCTGTATCCCGCAAATCCTGTCTCACATCGTCTCGAAACACTTCCCAGCTATGTCTGTTATGTTCTCGCTTCGGATGGAACACATGGCCGATGACTTGGACGGAATGCTGACGACAATGGAGCAGGATGATGTCCTGGCGCGATTGGACAGCATACTGCAGAACATACTGCAGAACAAGCGCTTCTCCAGTGTTGTTGCATCGCGCAGTGTGTCTGGGCACTGATCATGATGAAAACAGTTGGAAATCTGGCGACGAGCTTATTGGGACGGGTTCAGCACTCCGAGAACGGTATGTTCGGTGGGACGAACTCGTTAGGCGGAGGATGCCACACTCGCATAATCGAGGCATATTGCGGTACGCAGCACTATGGACTTGGTAAAATCGCAAAGGAAAGCTGAGTATCCCTTATAGCACTGCGCATAAGTCTTCCGAATTCCAAGACTGGAAGCAGGACGCGTACAGGTTACATACTAGCAGGCAAACTGAACAGAAAAATGCTGCTGGAGAGGTGCACCCCCGGACAGAGGGTCAAGACGACGAGGATCCTCGAGACGGCACAGCTTGACATCCTTACAACCCTGCATCCTCGCTCGTACCGTCGCATGGAGTCCGTGGGTACAAAGTCATCATCACCAAGATGCTCTGCTAACTTGCTGTGCAGTCTCAACGTACAGAATGACGCCGCAACACGGGTCGAGATGTCGCCGGTGTCGGGGAAGACATTCGCGCCCACTTACGGTCATATGTACACATGATCATTTCTCGAGAATCGAAGAAGTAGACGGACGTCTGTATAGATGTTGTATGCTCGAGAAAGACATCAATTGTTCTAGAACGGGGTGCCAGACTGTCGATAATGGATGCATTCAATTGTATTCGGGCACTTCACACCTTCGTCATAGTCAACCCGCAACCTCATCGTTGCTACGAGGAGCTAAATACACGGCGTAAAGTCATAAACGGGTAAGTTGAGTGTCGACGACGTTCAGTAACGAGCAAACACGGACGGCATCAGAGGCTGTCCGAAGGGAGTAGTATAATCTTGTATCTACAGAATACGAGCAAAACCACACGACGTGCGCGCAGATGACATGATGGCGCGGATACGAATGCCACTGCGAGAAATGGGGATCGCACCTTGAACGGCCTCCGAACGAGCTGCTCCAAACCGCAGGTCCGCTGGTAGTTACCTTCAAGTTGAACATAGCCTTCCGTCTTGAGGACCCCGGGATCTATCGCAAACGATACGTCCGGTCCTTATGAGGTACTGACAAAAAGTAAATCAGCAGCCAGGATGGCGGATAAAGATTCAAGACGTACCACGCTTTTCGGGCCTCGGGATTCTGCGCTCGATTGACGGATCGCCTTGAGCCGGGCTGTTTATCTGCGGGTTGTGCGATGCTGGACAGTCTCGCACCGGTTTAGGCTCGTTGACCTCGTAACCATCCATTGCGGCCTGGAGGGGTTAGAACCAGTCTGTTGCGACTATTTCCAGCATCGTAGGCAGCCAGGGATTGCGCGCTCTGAACAGTAATCAGGCCTGATCGCCAGTCTTCCCTAGGCAGACTTTGAAGAAGACTTCTTTGAGTGGGGGAGAGGACGTACCTAATCGCATGAAGACTCAAATCGGAATGACAATCTGAGCGGATAGGCATCAATCTGAGCGGCGTCGTGCGCTCTCGACAAATTTAACTCACTATACCCAGCATATACGCTGTTCATCCCGAAGACCGACACCTAGTACGAACGCCTTGGAGACCGGTCAGCTGTACGCGCCGATCATGGAGGTGCGGATGTACGCCGCCTTTTTGGTGTAAAGAGACGCAGTGGGGTTCGCCACCCCCGGGGTGAAGATTGGACAGATCATGACCATGAGCTGGACACTGGCATGTAGCGACCTCCATGCGACCTCTGTCTGTATACACTCGCCTTCGATTAGCAGGCTTCGTGGACAGAGCACACTCGCCGCACGTGTGAATCGTTGGGCCACCGTGGATGAAACGCATGCAGTCGGGAGAACAGGGCGTGGTTGATCGCTCGCGGCCTGCGTTGTGGTAGCGGGGGAGAGCGAGGTTAGGAAAGTCAAGCACTACGCTCGATCGTGCGTGGGGCTCGAAAAAGTCAGGCGGGATGCGTTCAGTCACAATATCTTGATGAATGCCGTTCTCCATGTCGACCCGCCGCCGGTCAGTCGATGCTACAAGTATGCACCTGACTTGTGTGACACGAAGTCTCGCGAGAGTAGTTAGTCGAATTGGCAGCGGATGGGCATGACAATACCGGGCGCGAGAAGAACAAAGATACGTGGATTAAGTCTGATGACGAGGCATGGTTCTGGATTCTTCAAATTGAGAGAACCATTATGTCGAGACCATCATAATCTAGCATCCTGGTGGGTAGTCAGGAGTGCGTGGCAGAGGCGGATCTCTTGAGCTTGAGGTCAGCGCTGTCCTGGACGGAAAGGCTACGTGAATGGTGACCGCTGGCCGTACGTATACGCGTCCCGTGGAAATAGGGTCACGGCGACGAGGAGAAGGGGCCCGGAAGTCTTCGGACCTCGCTGAGGCTCGCTGTCGTCGGTGGAAGTAAGTAAAGCGACGAGGAGGAGGAGGAGGAGGAGGAGGAGCGAGTGCGACGCGCCCAAGACGCGCTTCGGACAATTGTCGGAAGACGCCGAGAACTCTCAGCTGGCGGCTTCGATGTCGTGACTAAATGGAATACCCTCCTCCTCCTCCTCCTCGAGGCGACCTGGTGCAAGCTACGGTCTGCTACGGTTTCCACTAGGTTTAATGTACGACCCTCTCAAGACAACATCTAGCCCAAGAGTCGAGTCGCCCGTCCACTTCAACAAATCGCTCTCCACTGATTTCGGCAAGGATCGTGAAGTCCTCAAGTGTGAAACAAGGTTCTCTGCGCCGATTTGCGAGCTCCGTACGGCAGCACAGTACGCCGTGCAGAACATCGACGTCCAGTGATTCTGAGTGAAGACCTCGTCTCGCGGGGAACGATCTTGGGTTGTCTATGCAATCCTACTGGTGTACTGGCTATCGAAGCGATGCCACCCTCTGCAAGTCGCCCTACCCAACGGATAGTCTGCTTCAATATGCGGGTCGAACACTGGTCGACTTTTTGGCGGAGTTACATAAGCAGGTCGATCTCCGAAACGCGCGTGTAAATCTCGTCGCGCGACGCGTCTGGCGCGACCAGGGCGCGACGCGTTCCTCTGCACCTCCGAGTCTCCACTCTCTAGCTCTATGTACCGTAATTCTCTGTAATCAATGGAGAACCTTGCTTCGGAGCGGGTCACTTCACACTCCTTTACCAAATTCAGCTCACCCGAAGGCACCGCGTTCTGCCGCAACATCGCATCGAAACACTGCCTACCATGGGATCCTCACGACTACCAGCTCGAGGGCGTTTGCAAGGCTCTCGACGGCATCGACGTATTCGCCATCACTCCAACTGGATCGGGGAAGACGGGTTTTCTCCTGATTTACATGCTGGTAGCCCAGGCCATTGCAAAGGACCGAGAGCTGTGTCCGAAGGGGCTGCGGTCCCGCTTCAAGGCGGACCCGTGTATGGTGGTGGTCTGCCCCACGAAGTCGCTCGAACACGATATGGTGCGTCTCATTGTCTGCGCCTACGCATTGCTTCTCAAATACATCCAGGAGCCGAAGTTTAAGGCAGCTGGTCTTACGACAGTCGTCATCAATGCTGATACCACCCGGGCAGCTCAGGCTGCCAAGGTCGACCTCTGGTCGACCGCGCAATCCAAAACTGCAGTCATCCTGTTATCTCCCGAGCAGCTCACTAGCAGGCCGTTCCAACGACTCACATCCGACAAGACGTTCGCCGCCCGTATCATGGCGCTCAACGTCGACGAGGCGCATTTGCTATGCTTCTGGGGAACGCGGTTCCGAACTGCATTCCTGCACATCGGTCATGTACGAGTCCGGCTCCCGACGACACCTGTCCTGATTGCTCTAACGGCAACAATCTACGCGGGCTCGCAAATGGACATGGTGTGCCATTCCTTGGGCTTGCACACTGGCCAGTATCATCTCATCCGGCGTTCGAACGCACGCTATGACATACGGTGGCTCTTCCGTATAGCCCAGGCTGGGGCAAAGTCGAAGGAATTTACGGACCTCGATTGGACTATACAGACGAATCCTGGTCGCCGTGTCGTGGTCTTCTGCAAAACGATCGCACTATGCCATCGGGTGGCTAGTTATTTACGGGACGAAGCGACGAGCCTCCCCAACTGCAAGGATCGAATTCGCCCATTCACCTCCATGTGTGGTGACGATTATAACCGGAGGACACTCGCCCTTCTGCGCGATACGTCTGTAAGCGGCTTGCAGGTAACCGTCGGAACCGACACAATGGCATTTGGTCTCGACGGTGTAACAGACGACGTCGTCTCGTTTGGACACATCCCCGACGACCTCAACCTTATGCTGCAGCGAGCTGGACGTATTCGTGACGGACGAGGTCGGGATGCACGGGCGATCGTATACCTACCTCGCACAGCTGTTGAGCGGGCTACGATGGCTCTTGGGCTCGGCGGTTCGGTGGCGTCTCTGAGCAAGAAACGCAAGGCCAGCGCGTTGGACGAGTCGGATACCATCGACCCACTTGTTGCGCGGGTCATCCTAGCGAAGTGCAAGGTCGACGAAATCAATGCCATATACGAGAACCCAGAGAATGACGTACCGTGCACCTGTCGAACCTGTACATCTAGAGTCCCCCTGACGCGGCCCTCGCCGTGCAATTGCAGTGGTTGCCAACCAGAGAACCACAGCGAGGTCTGTGAGCAGAGCAAGGGCTCGACCGAAGGTCTTCAAGTTGGAGTGTTGCCAGATGGCGAGGCCAGAGCTCCGCCACGCGTCCAAAAACGAAGGCGAAAGGCCGGGGTGTGCTAAAGGTTACAAAGAAGATGCGCAAGCACGGGAACAAGGCACTTACGGAGTTGCGATGGGATGTATACGATGGCGCTGATGATGCCGACGTCACCGTGCCACCAATCCCGCGATGGTTCTCCCGAACCAGCTGATTGACAAGCTGTTCGACAATCTGTCGGTCATTGTCACGCACTCACAGCCCATTGAGGTGCTCAAAGCCCTTGTTCAAATGACCCCAAGGGACGTTCCGCGCGGGTGCCTGTGGACCAGCTTTGGCCAATCTTGAGGTCTCTTCATGGTGAGTTCACGCGGATCCAAGCCGAGACACGTCGCGTGGCAAACGAAAAACGAAGAGTAAATGCGCAGGCAAAGAGATTAGCAGTCTCAAATGCCGAGAATTCCGACAGCGAGAACACACCTGAAATTGCCATTCCGCCGATTCCTGATGCACCTGTGAGTGCTGGTGGTAGCTTCGAAAAGTCGACATGCAGCGCGGGACGGATCAAGATTCCAGGTGGTCGTTTTGAACATGTGTAACTCGGTGAGTACTTGCCATACATCATTGCTACTACCTACTCGTCATCGTCATCTGAGCCTGTGTCACCTTCCGCTTCGCCTTCCTCCGATGCTTCATCTTCGCAGCCTTCTTCGGTCTCGTCAACTTGCTCATCCTGCTCACCCAATAGGCGATCGATCTCCTCTGCTTGTACCTCGAAGACTTCAAACACGAGTTGCCCATGGTGCATGCATGCAGATGCTAGACTCTGCCGAACACCACCTTCATCTCCCGTCGCCTCCTCTTCATCCGAGTCGTCACTTTCCGACTCGGAGTCATGGTCACTTTCTGACTCAGAGTCATCGGAATCGTCCTTCGCTGCCAGTGACTCGGCGGATGCTGCGCCTCGTGGGGAAGTAGTTGTGTTGCTGGTTTGTTCGGCACTTGCAGGATGGAGGGCGTCAGAGGGTGTGGTCTTGGCGCCTGTAGGAACACGAACACTGCGAAGAAACATAGATTCAGCAATCCATTTCTTCATTTTCCCATCTTGCAACTTCTCGTAGCCTTTCCGGAAGTCGTCCACATCTCGTGCGACACCTGGGTACTCCCGACCACGTCGCCGCGAATGTAACTCGCAGTCCTGGTAGATCCCAGCGAGAATCTTGAACTCGGGCTGCTTTTGCGGAGTAGTGTGGCGGCCTGATCGGCGCTGGAGACCTACACCTCCCTTCAGATCGTTGAGCAAGGATGCGAAGTGGTGGAGATTGCGAGAGATGATGTGGCGTACGAAGTGATCGCCGTACTCGACGCCCTTCTTTTCAGCGACAGCCTCCAGCAGCCGGTTGAAATACTCTTGCATAAGATCGCCAGGCTGAAAGGAGCCTTCGTTGCCCGTGAGATTGACAACGAGATTGCTGAGAATGGCATGGCGCAGAGCAGGCGTACTCTCGAGTTCCAGATTGCATATCATTTCGAGAAGGTACGCTGTATATTTGGTATGTGTCGAACCAGCGAACGTGAAGACCATGACCTATTAAGTGATTAGCGAACATGAGCGGATGACCCACTACACGCAATGCGAGTGTAGTTATGATGCCAGTGGGTACTCACCTTCAAGGCCTCGTACACCCGCCCCACATCCCCTCACAAGTCGCATACACAAACTCCCGCAAGACGACGACATCGCGGATGAATGCATTGACTGCGCTAGGACACGATCACCCGCAAAGGGTGTCTCGGTCGTGTTTGCGGTGTCGGGGGCGCAGGCTGCTGGGGTTGTCGTGGATGGCGCAGGCTGCTGGTTGATCGTGGAGCCATCGTGGCGACTCCTCGGGTTCCTCTCGCTTTGGATCGTGGCGCCTTGTGCGGCTTGGGCCCGCTCGCAGTCGACGGCATGTCAGACAACGGTGAGACCCAGGTCGACCTATAGGTACGGTCTGCTCCCATGATGACGGTGACTTGCCAGACGCGTCACCGCTCAGTGCCGTATTCTGGTCACGATCCGACTGTTCATGCATCGCTCGCTCGTATCCACGACTAGTGGCATATGCACGATAGAGACGTAGGGCCACTTCCTCGAGCTGCTCCAGGCTCGGGATGCCATCCGGTGATTCAGCGAGCTGTGTGAAATACTCGAAGAGATTCGGTACATTCCAATAGACACTTGTGGTACATCACGTCAATCACAGGTCCATGTCACGTCGAGCGAGGCGAATAATCTCACCGGAAGCAATCAAGAATCCGAGCATCAAGCACGGTGAACAAGATCTCCATCCCATCTTTGTAGTCGACCTTGCTCAGGTTTGACGGCGTCTTCCGTCCGATCTTATTGGCACTGTGCCCAAGTGTTGACTCGTCTTTGCTGAGCAGGGGACCCCAATGTGTCGTGAACACCCGACATGCGTCAGTCCACCCGGTATGCCACAAGCCAGGATGGGCTCGACAATATCCAGGGACTCGACAGCGTTATCATCCTTCTCAAACCCGAGGTAATTCTTCAGCTGCAGCAGCTTCTCGTACGTCAGCCCATCCCCGCCAACGAGGATGAGCCGAGGATCACGACGGTCACTGGTCTGTCCGGCCTGAGCAGGAAGTCCATCATCGCGTCTTTCAGTTCGGTCGTGATGTTTCTTTCTTGCCACTGCTGGCGAGTGGATGGACCTTCGATTTGTGGATGGTACTTCTGCTTCACGCCTCGCGTCCGGAACAGATCCGAAACCTTGGTGGTGTACTGCGCAAGCTCTGGGATATGCTCAACGAGGACACGCAGAAAGTGGAAAGATCCCACTTCCTCGCGGTGCTTCCAGTCAATGAACCAGAGCAGCTCGTCCACTGTCAGATCCTTGCGCTTGTTCTCCTCGAGCAGCCGGTGTTTCTCGGTAAGATCGAATGCGCTGACCTCGTAGTCAACTCCCTCTACATATGTTGCTGCAAGACCGGAGATGAGCTGGCTCTGGCGTCCGAACTGCGCATCACCAGGTGAGGAATAATTCTGCACGTTATCGAGCCAGATGGTGCCAGCCGTCTCGGGGTCACTGCCATGGTCGCGCACGGCTTTGGCATCCTCGTCGGCGAATTTCTCGAGATAGCCATACAGGGTGTTGTAGGATGGCATGATGCCAAGCCGTGAGTTATAGTGAATGAGGTCGATGGGAGCAGACATGGCGAAGTGCAGAAGACCTGTCGCGGTCGGGAGCAGGTTTGCCCGATTCGTCCGAGAGAAGTTGAGCGATGTGACAGCGTGGAGGGCGACCTAGGAGAATCCGTACATCGGTGAGATCATTACCTTATCTGGGCTTCGAAGAAAGTAAACTGACCAATTGTGACGGCCTGTATTACGGCTCAGGGCCAAATTGGATTGTCTTCTTCTGTCACACTGCCACGACTCGGACGTGAACGCTCCGCGATGGCAAGGATGTAGGCCCATGTGAGTGGCTGATGTTCTTTCACGATATCCTCGACCTTTCCGACTGTTGCTGATCCAATATCAGCCCAAGTAATGTCCTCGATTTGTGGGCTATTGGCTGCACCAGCTGCGCCAGCCCGCCGCTTATACCTCATGGCATGCAATCCATTCTCGGCCTTGACCGCGGTGTTTGCCTCTGCGGTGAGTACCTTTAAGACCGTCTGTGCGGCCCAGCTAGTCAGCCCCGGGCGTACTGACTTGATGTCCTTCCAGTCCATCGTGGTCGAATACAGGAGGTCTGCTTCGTGTGCGAGGTCCTTTCCACGCTTTCGACCGTATGGATGGCGGAGCAAGATGTCCACGAGCATGGCTGGAGTGAAGTTGATGGCACCTGGGGCAGTACCCTGGAGGAAGTGCCGAACACACAGCACATGCCGCCTCGAGTTGCCGTGGACTGATTCTTTGACTCGTCCTCGAAGCGGAAGGCATAGTACAAGAACTCGCCAAATGACAATCCTGCGCCCTCGATAATTGCCGCAAAACAGATATCGAGCTTCTCACGAAGTGTGAGCTCTTCCGAAACTTTCTGTTTCTTCGTAGAGCGTCTCCCTTTCGACGGGCTGAGGGGAGTTCGCAGATCTTCATCGTCAGTATTGGGCTCTATGTTCTCCATCTCCGACGGCCGTCCTCGCTTGTGACTCGGTGTGCACGGAGTCGGCGACTCGTTTGGCCGTGGTACAGGGTAGTACACCGGCGGGGGAGTCCTTTGACCTGCAGCCAGCCTCGTGAATGGTGAGTAGGCAGCATGAATATCACTTTGAACCATTGCTGATGTTGTCGGTCCATAGAACATGGTATGGCCACTCGCATAGTGCATATACGATGGCGGCGGCGAGACCACAGTAGTACCAGTGGTAGTCTGAGTATCCCACTGATACCAGTCTTGCACCATGGCAGGCGAGGGATAGTGAGGCAGCGACGGATCGTAGTGTGGAGTTCCTGGGTTCATGGTGTCGCTGGTGTCTCGAGAGCAGGAGTAGGTGCAGAAATGCGCAATCTATTTCGTGGAATGGCCAGTACGGCTCATCCGTTACAGAGAGTCCGATTATATCTGAGATAGATCTAGAACCAGCCACCGGCACTCTCGCCGTGCCCTGCCGTAGCCACCGGCATTGTTCGGCTATCACAAAATGGGTCCTGGAGGAGTCGAGCGGTGTCGAGGGCGCGTATTGAAGCAGACCCATATACGACCGCCCTCCCCCACTCAATAAGGTCGTGTTTAGGGTCTGCCTACGGGAGACTACCCAACGGAGCATATGCCACGTCAGCGCGACTGCCAGTGTCAGTCAGCTAGACATTCCACTCATATAATAATACAGAGACTGCCTGCCCACCAGCAGGGTCATGACGATCAAGAAGAGGTTTGGCGACCGGGCGCATACGGTGTGTCAAGCGACGCCGTCGATTTCATATTATCTAGTGTCTCCCACTGGCACTGCCGTGACATAGGCATCTGGGGTATGGTTCCATGTCTTCTCCGTACTCCTCAATGATTCACGTCTCCTCCTCTGACTAGATTCGGATCAAACACCTCTCGTGTCTTTCATTTATGAGCTTTTCGTGACGCCACGCAAGACGGGCGATTCGGAGGGACGACGATCTTCATGCCGATCTTGAACACACCCGCGGCCTTGCCTCACCCACAGTCGTCGACGATCCAGGCGCGATCGTTCTCCGTGACCACACATCACGATGGTGCGCTCGCCGGCAGTCCGATCCACATACCCTTATGGAAAGCCAAAACCCCCTTGCATTCTGGTAGGCTACTGAGTGGCACTCTGTCGAACCACGACCTCTTTGACTCGAAGCCGAGAACGCTCTGTGTGTTTGTCAGACGTTCCCGCTGAGGCGAACAATTGCAGGACGTCCCTTGCAATGCCGCGTCCCGGGTGGCGAAAGCTCCACCCTCTGTGTGCATTGTCCATGAACGGGCACACCCCTGCCCGCGTTTGAGCCTCTCACCAGAGCTTAAATACCGCGCGTATAGCCCGTCCGTCTGTCTTCCGTATCTCAAGCAATGACCGTCCGCACGCTCAGAACGCGACTCCCGACTCCCGACGAACTAGTCACCATTCCTCTTAACCAGAACCTATCAACGGACTATGGGAGGCAGTTCACCATTCACTTCCCCCCTCAGTCCCACTATCGGCCTCGACCGGCGCTGCATGGGGTTCAATCGCGACACCTCCGTTCATCACTCGAACCACTGCGAAGAGCCCTTGTACGTATTCGGAGCGAGAGTCCTCAGTCCTATCTCACCTTTGTCAACCGCTGATTGTCAGTGCGTTTCTGTCAGAACCTGGCTTCGCCTCGGACTTCCCGATCACGGACGAAGAAGTGGAATCCGTCGTGGATGGGCTATACCACGACGTGGGCTCACAGCCGCCGACGGCATCTGGCTCTGAGGCTCCAGTCTCCTCACACGGAGTAAGAAGCACTCGAAAGGCAGCGTACGTAACTGTCTCGTTCTGCACACACACTATTGTCTCTAACATTGCTTCATCATCAGCAGTCGTGCCAAGGGGCGTGAGCTCCCCGCTCGTACCAAGCAACGGAGTGTGAACCCCACAAGTATCACGGACGTCGCCCCGGGGCAGGCGACCTCGACGGTCCCTTTTGGCTACGAAGTACGACAACGTCAGCCCGCGGCGTCGTCCTCACGAATAACTTGGGAAGGACTAGCTATACAGGAGCGAGGGATGGGCAGAATGTAGGCACAACAGATGCTTCATCGGAGATCTTCGCTGATGGAGTTACTATGAACTAGCTCACCATCAAATACGCGAGGTCCCATGCCTCCGCTCGTGACAAATGCCTACGTCGGGCCGTTTGTAGGAGCAGACCCGAGCATCGCGTTTCTTCCCCTGCCGTTCGACATACCGTACGTAGCCGCATCGTGTATCCCCTTCGTTCCAGAGGTTGACAGCCATTTCTCCGCATTATAGGGTGGTGGACGAGCCGCGCGTCGCAAACAGGCAAGGATATGAAACCTTCCGAACCCATTCGGTCTCACACTTCGGGCGTGCCCTATATGCCCGTTGTTCCGTCGGTGCCCATCCAGGACGGACACTTCGTACATAGCTTCGTTCATGCTGTGTACCAGCCGCATCACCAACTCGACAGTGGGTTCGACGGGATTCCCAACGAGACTTCCGACACACGTCCCTCCGCTGCTGCAGGATCCGGTCGCAAGCGCAGACGGAGCGCAGGCGGCGAGGAGGGTGAGGACGCGCGCCCATGCCCCGCGCCATACGTCCCTTAGCCGGTGGGAGGGCTGTTCATACTCTGGGACAGTAGACTCGGAAGCCGTCGTGGTTCACTTTAAAGACGTGCACGACTGCGGCCATCACAACGACCGGAAGCGTGGCAATCAGCAACGCGATGAAGAAAATGCGACGGAGGGCCAGGAGAACACTGCGGGCATGGCTGGTCATGCAAAAGACGGCAAGGTTGCATGCAAAGTGCCGCGAGAATGCAACCCGGACGTTCATTCCAAAGACACACCCACGGGATCCATTGGCGCCATGCGGGACACATGAGGAAAGTCAAACTGCCGTCGGAGAGCTGGTCAGTCGTCCTTCCTAGTCGAAGTTCGACGGTTTAAGGGCAGACTTACTGAAGGTTATCTCAGCGAACCACATGCGCACATCGCCATCCCGCGCAGCGTCCGGCGGCTGCAGTCGCACCTCGTCCAGGCGTGTGAGAGATGGTGGTGCGTTCGAGCGTATGCAGGCCGGGTCCAGTCGCAGGGATGCGCCAAGTGCGTGAATGCTGCAGTGCCATCGCAATGCTGGGGATCAAGGTCGCGTTCCTCGTGATTCGCGTCGCGGAAGCTGAGCATGCTCCTACGTCAACCCGTCTGGGCAGGCGCTTGGAAAAGTTGGAATGTACATTCAAGAGCGCGTACGCATCGCTGACAGCAGGTGGTCGGGATCCGCTCACTTGAGGATCTATCGTAGCCTGCCCACGTCAGCCCGTTCTCATTGACCTTCATCGTCGGACTGCCACATATTATACTGTCGTAGTACGCGAATAGTGAGAACGATCGAGGTTATCTTGCTGTCTGGCACGGAGTACTAAGTACCTGTCTGTTGGACTGTTGCAGTACTTGGTATAGAATCTAGATGCGCCTCGATCGGCGTTGTCAGCTAGTCTCCCCAGGCAGACGTAGACAATTCCTTCAACCTTCGTGCCTCAGGATATCCTTGTCTGACCTGTCAGCCACGGGTAACACCGTAGCTCCAGCCGCCACCGCGCCGCCCTCCTCCAGCCCTCCTCCGTCTTCACTTCGACACTCGGACGCCTATATACATACTTTAAGTGGATGGGCAGCGCCTCGTACACCCAGTGGTGATGCCAAGATATTATGAGTATTCATCCGCGACGTTTGCGCTGGAAGGCAGCAGCTCGTCTCATGATTCCGACTGCCAGGACCTCAGCGTTCGGACTCGGAGTCAGATAGCGGATAGAGCATTATGTGAGTCAAGACCCATTCGACTCGAGCTTGGGTCTACCAGTGTTGCCAGTGGGAGGTGACGGTCTCACCACGGGTCCGCAGCACTGCTGGACTCATGGAGGCTTGATCGTTATGAAGCCAGTGATTCGTAGAACGATGGCACGCCGTCGTCGAGTCCGAGCCGTCCGCGTTGCTGTAGGTATCGGAAGGGTAAACAACCGAGCAAGTACAGTATGTAGTGATCACTTTTTTATTCACGTCCTCTGTCGTTGCCGTGCTTCAAGTTGGAAGCAACCGCACGCCTGTACATAGTTCAAGGCTCGCTGAGGGGCCGCCGACCGTCGACGACCTACTCAACGTGCGTGGTATTAGCAAGAAACCTGTCTATCATTACACCCATCCCCTTCGTCATGTCTACAGTCCTCCCTTCGCTGCACGTTTTCCGTCATGCGTTCTGCTCCGCGACGTACACGCCGCCCTTCTGCTTCTCCACCGTATCCTCGCTCTGCCTCTGCGAGTTCGCCGCAGTCCGCTCGATCGTCGACACAGGGCCCGTGAACCAATGCACGCCGCCATACACCGGGAAGTAGTACCACACCAGCGACAATATCAGTACCCCGCCGAGCACGACCTGCGCCATACAACCCATGCATGAGCAACACGCCTCACTGGAGGGCTGACACAGGATGAAGACGTACGACAGTGTAATTCATATCCGCCACGTCCGTCTGCGGCGTCGTCGGGAACAGAAACACGATGCCCATGAACGCCATCCACGCGACCGCGATAGCCGCCACCGGCGCGCCCCACCGTCCCAAGCTAAACGGGCCCGGCTGGAAGTCGTTCTCGCCCAGGAACCGCGCGGCGATCGGGATCGCGTACGCGACGTAGAGCGCGACGACGGACAGGGAGAAGATCGCGTTGATCGCCGCGGGGCCCGCGAAGACGAGGAGCCCGAGCAGGAGCGCGAAGGCACACGTGAAGTAGACGGTGTTGACGGGCGTGCCGGTGAAGCCGTTCATGCGGTAGAGCCAGGAGGAGAACGGGAGCGCGCCGTCGCGCGAGAACGCGAAGGACTGACGGGATGCCGCGAGGACCTGTGCGAGCTCGGTGAGTGGGGCGTGGGGGTACGAAGGAGGCGAGGCGCACCATGGACGACCCCATCATGTACTGCACGAGCACGACGAACGACCACAGCGCTAGCGTGCCCTTCTGGCCGAACGCGTTGAAGAATATCTGCGCCATGGGCTGGCCCACCGGAGACGATAGTATCCCGTCGAGGTCCGTGCCCATGCAGAACGCCAGCGCGACGTTGATCGCTGAGAACGAAGTGTCAGTGACAGCATTCTTGCAATGCGTGGAGCGCACGAACCCCAGCCGAGGACGCCGGCAATCCCGATGGCGTACACGATCGCCCAAGGTACAGCTATCGCTGCGTTGCTCGCTTCTTCGCTGATGTGCACACTAGAGTCGAACGAGCCTATGAAAATATTAAGCGAATTTCGGGCGAGCCTGAGTTTGTCAGACGCACA